GAGTATTTTATTGTTAATAATTTGGGATTCTAGGGGTTTCTTTAAAATCATATAATAGTTCATTTTTAGATGACTTTTGGTTATTTTATATAAAAATCTGTATCTACATCAATTATATCACAGAATGCATGATATGAAGAGTAAAACTAGTATATTTTGATCTTCAGTTCCCTAGTAGGTATTTTGGTTAAATAAATTAATGTGTCTCGTTTCTAACTCTTTATGCCTTTAGATGAGATTGTTCAAAATAATATAAGTATCCGGATTATTCTTTATCACCCATTTACGAAGTTGCGTACCCATCAAGCATTTGATGGAAAACAAATTTATTCAACGGGTAAGAAGATATGTTGAAGATTAAATTTAAAAAAATTAACGTCTCTTTCTTTAACATATAAACGAAGTGGTTCAACAACTAGGATCTTGATTTCAAAATTATGGTTGCCTCTACCGTTGGTTACGTACATTAATCACTTTCAAGTTCAATGATTTGAATGTAGTTTTGTTGAATCAAATATTCTTATAAATATAGTGATAAATCGAGCATAATGATAGAAAGGCTATTCTAATTGCATGGGACAGCCTAGCTATTCTAATCGAAGGATAGAATAACTAGGCTATTCTAATAAAAATTGTATCTAGCCAATCTTCGATTTACTAAAAATAAGGGCAATTCTTGGGTGACAAGCCCTTGACTAATAAAAATTGTAACTAGCCAATCTTCAATTTACTAAAAATAAGGGCGATTCTTGGGTTACAAGTCTAGGGGCTTGTAACTTTGGTTTTCCCCAAAAAAACAAATGTTAATTCCAATTGGGTGCCTCTGACAGATTTGTCGAAGCTCGACCATTAATTGAGAAAACGTTTTCAGCAATAAATAGTAGGAATAGTTGATGCTGCAACAGTGAAATGATGTACTTTGGTCACTGGAATTGCAGTAAGTTCGTACTCAAATGAGTGTAACATGAACGGTTGTGATGTCATTTGAAGGTTGTGGTACTACTCAGTCAACTATCCAAATTGAAGCGCCTGAATTATTAGATGTACTATAAGTTTTTGTTCAATAAAAAGGAAAGAGGAAATTACAAAAAAATGCTTAATCATTTGCAAAAATATCTAATTTTTTTCAATGTCTATTTTTACAATTACTTGGACGAGAGTACTTCTAAATAACTTCCAGGAGAAGCTAAATTAAAAATGATATTCTCGACATTTCAAATGTCGTTCTCGATATTTGAATCCGTTTATATTTTAAAAGTACTAATATCAAATCACAATATTAAATGTTCTCGACATTTTAAATATTTTTCTCGACATATTAAATATCTAGAATGATATTTTATTCCGAATATGACATCTTTCTACACTTTAAATTTGTTCTCGATATTTTTGTGTCTAGCATTAATTGTGATTTGACATGTGTAATATGAAATTATTTATTCTTTCATTAACGATACAATAGAGAATTTGGTATCAAATTTGGCAATTTTCGCAAAGATTATCAAAAGTGGACATTTTTCAATTGACATATGTAAAATTGGACATTTTTGCAAAGGGTAATTGGCACAAAACGTCCCTACCTTTCAAGTCTATTGTGGAAAACGTCCCTACCTTTCATTTTTTGGCATTTTTGCCCTCATTTCAACCTTTCTTTGCGCTGGACGTCCTTCCGTCCATATTCTGTCAGTTTTTCCGTTAAACATTCGGGTAATTGGCACAAAACGTCCCTACCTTTCAAGTCTATTGTGGAAAACGTCCCTACCTTTCATTTTTTGACATTTTTGCCCTCATTTCAACCTTTCTTTGCGCTGGACGTCCTTCTGTCCATATTCCGTCAGTTTTTTCGTTAATTAAATATAAAAATACCTTTTTCTTTTCATAAACAAGGGTAAAATTGTCCTCACCCACTTCACCCCTTTTTCCCGCCATCAACTTAGTCCATAAGTAACAGTAGCAGCAACATGAATCTGAAAATACTTTAACTGATTAAGTTAAATAAAGAAAAAATATCGTGAACACATTATATTTCACAATTCCACAACTACTGTTGCTGTCATCTTGTGTCACTGGAAAAATTTAGAAAGACATATTAAATGGGTAGTCAATTTATAATGAGTCAATTTAAAATGAGCCATTCATCTTCTCCATTGAGCCAAAAAGAGCCATTCACCATTTTGGCTTATTATAAATTGACTACCCATTTAATAAGTCTTTCTAAAATTTTCCAATGACACAAGATGACAGCAACAGTAGTTGTGGAATTGTGAAATATAATGTGTTCACGATATTTTTTCTTTATTTAACTTAATCATTTAAAGTATTTTCAGATTCATGTTGCTGCTACTGTTACTTATGGACTAAGTTGATGGCGGGAAAAAGGGGTGAAGTGGGTGAGGACAATTTTACCCTCGTTTATGGAAAGAAAAAGGTATTTTTGTATTTAATTAACAGAAAAACTGACGAAATATGGACGGAAGGACGTCCAGCGCAAAGGTTGAAATGAGGGTAAAAATGCAAAAAAATGAAAGGTAAGGACGTTTTCCACAATAGACTTGAAAGGTATGGACGTTTTGTGCCAGTTACCCTTTAATTAACGGAAAAACTGATGGAATATGGACGGAAGGATGTCCAGCGCAAAGAAAGGTTGAAATGAGGGCAAAAATGCCAAAAAATGAAAGGTAGGGACGTTTTCCACAATAGATTTGAAAGGTAATGACGTTTTGTGCCAATTACCCTTTTTGCAAAAGTCCCTTAAATTCTCAACAATGAATGTTAATTCATCCATATGACAATTCCTTTATATATATAGTGCATGTTTGGTATTGATTTTTTATCACAAAAAATTAATTTTTTAACCATTATTTCACTATTTCAACTGTCATTTTTGACTTCTCTTGTAGTTAGGACCTACTTTTCTCTCTAGCGGTCAAAAAATCAATTCTCAAAATCACTACCGAACAAGTCCATATATACTTAGTCAACAATCCAAAATTGAAGCGCCTGAATTATTAGATGTACTATAAGTTTTTTATTCAATGAAATGAAATTCTCAACAATGAATGTTAATTTGTCCATATGACAAACCTTTTTTGATGAGAAAAACAGCACCACCCAAACTCACCCCAACTTTAACGGCCAAATGAATTGAAAACTTGAAATTCTATAAGATTAAAAATTAAAGCTTTTCAATGTTATGCTATTACAGGCTGACAAGAGTAGCTCAAAAATGGCCCACCTAATTTATTTACACCACATGGCTTCTTTACTCTTGGGGGTCCTATTTGATCTTTGATATGTAACTCCAAGTCGTCTCATTGTTTTCTATTTTTCTTTGAAATGCAAGTAATTTGGTTTTGTAGAAGAACTTCAAATTCATGAGACGTTTTAAATATAGGCATACTAACTTCGAAGATAAATTTTAAATTAATAAATTAATTCATTGTATAATATTTTGATCCTTAGAACGAATAATTCAACGTAATATATATATATATATATATATATATATGTGTGTGTGTGTGTTAAACTTCTACGCTACATGTTTCAATAATCAAGACATATATATGGAAAATTCTATTCTGTAACACAATTATGTGCTCGTTAATTGTGCTACAAAAATCAGTCCTAAGAATGGATTGTAGTCAATCAACTAAAGTGGACAAAGATGTAGACTGTTTGAAAAACAAAATATAAAGGATTATGCAAATTGTGGCGTGGTTTACTGATAAAGATAGAAGGGTGCTGAAATAAAAAAAGATATTTATGTGTAATGTTGCATTAATGCCAATACATAATCAATTTGGAATGTTTTTGTTGAGAACTTTTTGAATTTTCTAATGAAAGCTAGCTAACAAACAAAAAATGACGTGTGCTTTGCTAACGAGCTCGATAAAGCTAGCTAGTAATTCAATAATCTAGTCTAGTCATCACCAATTATAAAAAAGGACGTGTAGAAAGACAAATTTATACACATCTCTTAATTGAATTATATCACTATGTGTTCTACCACCATTATTCACGCACTCATTGGCTTATCAAATTCATAGTAGTTGTCAAGGTTTGAATTGTTTTTATGAATATGAATAGAATGTTCCGTATGACTAATTGAAGTTATCAATTCAATACTTTATGCAGAATATTTTCATAAAGTTTCGATTGTAGTTTTTTAAAACGAAATAGCAAACTCAAATTATCGTGATAGCATTATATATCACCACTAGAATTGTTTTGATCCAAAAAATGTAATAGAATTTTAGAATCAATCAATGTAGACAGTGAAACAGAGAAAAAAGGTGGATAAAAAAGTACTGGATTAAAACCTCCAAAAAATCTATGAAGCCCTCCATTTTCTTTATTCAAATTTCTTGAATCTTCTAAGGTAAACAGCCCTTCACTCCCATTTCAAGAATTCTTCCTAGAACAATACTACATGTACCACTTGGTTTATCACGTGACTTACAAAAATTACACGTGATAAGGTCTCACACCATCTTTAATAAAAAAACACAAATAATCCAGTTCTTACAATGCTGCCATGTTATCATCTGTAAAGCTGTTTGTACAGTTTAGCTGTACTACTATGTTTCCATGTGTCCCTCTCCTCTCTCTCTCTCTCTCTCACAGGCTCTCTCTTATGCATGAGCATATAATTTATTAAGGAACAAAACAAACAACAAAAACAAAGGAGTGCAACGAAGATAAGAAATGAGGGTAAGTAGAAAATCAGTTTATTCATATAAGCAAGGGTTATGAATTACAATGAATACACTCTTTGTTTATAGAGCAAAGAAACTAAAAAAACTAAAATCAAATGAATACTAAACAAAAGTGTACAAAAATATTAAAACTAATCGTATTTAATTTAATTGATGTTAACTCTATTCTAAAATCCCAATTAACTTGTAATTCTATCCATCACTCTCTCCTCTCTCTCTCTCTCCAGCGTTTGGTAGAGCATTCTATTGATTGATGTTGAAGACTCTCCTCCAGCTTATATAAAGCCATTTTCTTACATTGTTAATCTCAGAGCAGAACAAAGTGGGAAAATCCAAGAAATATGTTTCATATTAGAAGCAGCATAATTATACATAAAATGGGCTGCTCATTCTCTTTTTCTGCATTATGGATGGTTTTTAACCTTGTTCTAGCACTGTCTGCCATGGCACCTCGAGCCGATGCACGTGCATTTTTTGTGTTTGGCGATTCACTGGTTGACAATGGCAACAACAACTACCTAGCAACCAGTGCTCGTGCAGACTCACCCCCTTACGGCATCGACTATCCAACTCATCGTCCAACTGGCCGCTTCTCTAATGGCCTCAACATTCCAGATCTCATCAGTAGAATTTCATACTTTACAATCCTTTACATTATCTTCACATTCATACAAGTTTCTTTTATTTTGCATGTTCAAAACCCAGTATGACACATGGTTCTATTTCTAAGTGTCTTTATTTATGATAATAGTTGATATTTTATAAAAATAAATAATCCGATCAGCACTCGAAGGGCCGAAATGAGACCAAATTTAATAAGCCTTTAGATGAAATGGTTGAAATTATCTGCGTTTATCAGATTTACAGTGATTATCAAAACATTAATATGTATCAAGTGTTCATTCTTCAGGCGAGCAAATGGGAACGGAACCAACAAGGGCATACCTGGATCCATCGCTGAGTGGAAATAATCTTCTTGTTGGCGCCAACTTTGCATCTGCTGGAGTGGGAATCCTCAACGACACTGGAATTCAGTTTGTACGTAGATTTCATATAATTTAGTTCCTTAATTACATGTTCACTGCCTGTCTTAATGCTGATTTTCTTGTTTAACATTTTGGAATATCCTTATTCCGCATTATATATATATTTTTTGGCAGCTGAATATCATTAGAATTGCACAACAATTGGAGTACTTTCAACAGTACCAGACTCGTGTTAGTAGGCTAATTGGCTCTGCAGGAACTCGAAGGCTAGTTAATGAAGCCCTTGTGCTCATTACCCTTGGTGGCAATGACTTCGTCAACAACTACTACTTGGTGCCATTTTCAGCTAGATCACGACAATTTTCTCTCCCTGATTATGTCCGCTACATCCTCTCTGAGTATCGCAAGGTTTTAAGGGTAAGAATAGTGCTACTTGTATGAAAATATCTTGATCCAATCATATCTCACCACATCATATATATGTAAATCTATTATGTATATGTAACACAACCGTAATGGTAATGTGTCACAAAATTTATATAACTTTTCCCTGAATTACGATTAAAAAAAAAAAAATACGTTTGTCATATGGTTACAGTACATGGGACGTGAATATTAATTAAATCATTTACATTATGGCAGAGGCTCTATGAATTGGGAGCTAGAAGGGTTCTTGTGACAGGAACAGGACCAATGGGGTGTGTGCCAGGAGAATTGGCACGAAGGAGCAGAACTGGTGAATGTGACGTGGAGTTACAAAGGGCTGGTGCATTGTACAATCCACAACTGATTCAAATGGTTAATGGTCTGAACAGTGAAATTGGATCTGATGTCTTCATTGCTGCTAACACAATGCAAATGTCCTTCGACTTTATTTTTAATCCTCAGGCCTACGGTATATAATCTGATTTCACTACAACTTGTACTTCCAACTATTTTTAATTTTTCTTTGGGGGTGCGGGGTGGAGTCCATCTCATAAGGGAACATAGAGTTAAAGCTTCAACAACTTTGTAGCCTTCTCTTATTTTCTTTAGAAGCCTGCTTTACGTACAGGGTATGGGTTCATAGGTTCCGAATACTCACAGCACCAGAGGGAGGGTGGGGTTTTTGGTAGTTTTTTATGGGACCCACCTAGTGTGAGGATTGGAACCCCTACCCTGTAACTCAGCAAAATTCTTTTCTTTAACCATATTAATTCTATGGAAATTATATTACATATGATTTTGACCTCTCTCGTGCATAACAAAGAGGTGAAAAAACTAACTTTTAGAGCAGTTGGGTTTTAAACAGATAAGCTACATAGTTTTTCTTGGCCAAAGTTTAAAATAGATGACTTGATTACTCCGTCAAATTAGGCTCATGTTTGATAGAAATAAAAATTTAGATTTTAATATAAATCAACGTCGATAATGAATTTTAACACATTGCATTGACCCCACAACTTTTATCAAAATATACTAAAAATTTAATTTGAATCTCCACCAAACAAGGGCTAAGTAACATCTTTTACTTGGACAAAGAAAACAAAGTGTTTAACATGCAACATAAATTTCGAAACAAAAATCAAAACAAATAAACGACTGTAGTCACCAAAGCTAATCTATGTCTGTGTTTGTCTCATGTATATAAACTGTTTATAGATACTTAAGTAACTTTTTATTCATAAATTTTGAAGGACTAAAAAGAACTATTTATTTATCCACCATATATTTCTATATATTTATGGTTTAAACAGTTTATAAACACTACACAAACATGCTCACAAAACCCTGAAATTTATATGGTTGGACAGGATTTGTTACATCAAAAATAGCTTGCTGTGGACAAGGGCCATACAATGGAATTGGACTGTGCACTCCTTTATCCAACTTGTGCCCAAACAGAGATTTGTATGGCTTCTGGGATGCATTCCATCCATCTGAGAAAGCCAACAGAATTATTGCGCAACGGCTCTTTACTGGTGACGACAAATACATGACTCCGATGAATCTTAGTACCGTTTTAGCGTTAGACACCAAGAAATGATGATCCAGTGTTTTAAATACTACTGCCATTTCATCTGCCTCTTCAGAATGTTATGTATTTTTACTCTATTTGTCGTTTGATATTTCTACCTCGGAATTAGAGGGTATGATTAGAATTTATTTATCTTATGCCTATTTCCCAAAAAATGAGTAAGTTTATATGCATGCATGGTCAATAAATATTAACCTTCTACAGTAGCCTGAAAGGCAGTGGTCTTTGTTGTTGTTTTTGTTTGTGGGTGCACTTGATTAATCATGACAGTTTGCAACAGAAATGAATTTCTAGTGATTTTATTTGGGTTTTTATTTGATGTTTTTCGTTTTGGGACTTAAGTTTGTCACTTTCAAAAGAAAAATCGAAGTGTCAGTTGGCATTATATGTACCCATATAATACATTGAACACGACAAAATATGATACAATTAGCCCTTATTTGATTTTGCTAAAAATTAAATTTTTATAATACTTTGATAAAACTTAATGAAACTTCTGGTTCAAAAGTTAATTTTTTAAAAAAAAAAGTGAATTTCATGAAAACTGTGGCCGAAGACTTTGAGTATAATTATTCAATTTTATGTAAACTGTCAATATAATACCCAAATTTAATTAATCATATCCTCGTGCTCTGAAAATAGTCTTGAATCAAAATACAAATATTCTTGTAGTTTGTTACAAGGAAAAAAAAAATGCACATAATATTTTTAATCATATCATTGAACTAGAAAGGTTATTAAGGGATAAGATTTTACAAATACCTTAAGCTTAAAGGAAAAAAATAAGTTTTCTTAAAAAAATAAAAATAAATAAAAAATGGAATAATACTACCAGTAAGTGTTATGCCCTAGGTCCAATCAACTTTGGACATAAATACTTTTAATATATAATTGATGTAATTTTATGGCATATTTATTATTTAACAATACTCAATTGAATTAAATAATAGAGTGCGTTGTGCAAATTTGTTAATCGCAAAGAGTTGTGATTGTGAGATACAAAATACATATGACTAAATCTTAAATTATTCGTGGTTGTAAGCTATTGCAAATATCGTTATTATAGATAAATAATCATGTATGATATTTCTTACTTGAGAAGTAAATAACTGATCTCACAAGCTAAAGTATGATAATAATACTTAAATGAACACCTTAATATATTTTTACATCCAAAAAAAAAAAAAAAAAGAAAAAAAAACATTGGAGATTTGCTTGAGAGGTTCCACATGGTCATCTATCTGAATCTTAATGGTTAATCTCTAATATTCAGTAGTGAAATTAATCATAAGAAAAGAAAACCCTAATTCTCTCAATATTGTTCCCTATGTGGATTTCTACTATAGGTTAGACAATTAGACAGCTGTAGATTGTAGATCATGATTGTTCATGTTACAGTATCAGAAAAGGAGTTTTGCAGACTTTACAAAAATGTAGATAATAAAACTTAAATGAAAACCTTAAAATATTTTTACATCCAAAAAAAAAAAAAAAAAGAAAAAAAAACATTGGAGATTTGCTTGAGAGGTTCCACATGGTCATCTATCTGAATCTTAATGGTTAATCTCTAATATTCAGTAGTGAAATTAATCATAAGAAAAGAAAACCCTAATTCTCTCAATATTGTTCCCTATGTGGATTTCTACTATAGGTTAGACAATTAGACAGCTGTAGATTGTAGATCATGATTGTTCATGTTACAGTATCAGAAAAGGAGTTTTGCAGACTTTACAAAAATGTATAATTATAATTTTTATCTAAATACAAAGCAGATCATTGGTAAAAATTAAAATTATTTTATTTTCCTCTATGCACGATTAAGTAAATTCTCAATAGTGGTATCAGAACTTATTTTATAGCAAGTAAAGATACAAGCAATTCTCTCACAAATGGATTTGGAGGAAGCCTTGCTTGGCTTTAATAAGATGCCTTCAACTTGGACGCCGGAAGCAAAACAGTATAAGGATCGAAAAGGTCAAACCCAAATTTAACTACATCTATCAAATCAAATTATTTAGGATGTTCTTAAAGCGAACAGTGCCATTGTGGTTGTTGGAGCAACTTTGTATGACAAAGAGCTTGACTAGCAAGCTTTACTTGAAATAGTGCTTGTATTCTCATCGAATGTCCGAAGGTGTATCATTGGATGAGCTTTTAACAATTTCAAAGAAATCGTTGCTGATTTGGAAACATTGGAGGTTAAGTGTGAAGAGAAGGACTTGGCGTTGATGTTGTTGTGCTCTCTGCCCCCATTATATGTGATATTTAGAGATATTATTCTCTATAGTCGGAATACTCTTACTTTGAAAGAAGTCCATGATGCCTTGTTATCTAAAGAGAAGAGAGGGATCTTGTTGGAGGATTTGGGAGTCAGATGAAAGGCCTGGCTATTTGTGGGAGAAATCAAGATAGAAATTCTAGTACGAGTATGAGGGGACAGAATGAAATCCAGATATGCGAAAAGGCATGTCATTACTGTAAGAAGAAGAGACATATCAGGATTGATTGCTATTCTTTGAAAAATAGGAATAAGGCTACTAGTGCTACTGAAGAGGAAAGTAACCTGTTAACTCTAGGCTGATATTGTGGAAGATGGGCAAAGTGATTGAGAGCTTCTTGTCATTTCGACATGGATTCCAAACCTTGTGAGGAATGAGTTCTTGACTCGACTTGTAAATTTCATATGTGTCCCAACAAGAACTGATTTACAACATATGAGAGAGTTTTGAAAGGTGCAATGATAATAAGAAACAACGCAACTTGTAGAATTGTCGGGGTTGATATAGTCAAAAGTAGAATGTTTGATGGTGTTATTAGAATACTCACAGATGTCAAGCATGTTCCAGAATTTCTGGTACTTTAAGCCTATCCAAAACATAGAGCCCCAATTGCCCATAGCCAGTCTCAATCAATTTCTGAGATTGTGGGTCTTGTACAAAACAAGTAGATGGAGAAAAAGAGACTAAATATTCAAATTTACATAATTTACTGATAGAAACAAGATTTAAAACGAGACTACGAATATGGTATACATCATTGAGAGATAAACAATGTGTATTAATATCCCAACACCTACTATAGGCATATGAGTACCATTAGTAATCAGAACTGAAACAAAAGACTTTATAAATGAAACAAAAGATGATAAATTAGGCGGCATATGATGGGAAGCCCCAGAAACTAAGACACATAAAGAAGATGATATACCTGAAGAACTAGAATATAACAAACTTGTATGAGGTGCAAACATTATGTGGTGGAATTGCACTTGATTGTGTTGCCAGAAGCTTCTGAAACTGCTCAAACCTGAGTGGATCTACTGAAGGTGCTGCCACTGTAGTATTATGTCGATGTTATTAGTTTCCAAACTTCCATTGTGGAAGAACCTTCCATTGCTGTTGTTGTTGGGGTCACTCTTAGGGTTGCTATTTTGTTGCTTTATTTAACAATTGAGGATATTTTCTACTCCAACGACCCTTCTGCTTAGAGAAATGATATTCATTATGAGCAAATTCGAATGTGACCTACATTGATTATTAGCATGTGGTCTTTAAGGTGCAGCGAATGCAAATGGGATAGTAGATAATGAAGCAGTACCTTTATCTGCTTGAAATTGAAGGTGTATCTCATTAGCATGCAATTCACTAACCACAGAATCAACAGAAGAAAGAGGAAAAGATTGTCCCATGTAGTCCTTCAAAATCATCATGTAGGGCCATCAAAAACTGTATCAATCGTTGTTCTTCCCTTTGGGTGATATAGGAAGGAAATGCATATAAATTTGCATATTTTATGAGTGCCAATTTATTTTATCCGCTAAATCTATTAAAGAAGAGTAAAATTCCTCAATACTCATACTTTTTTGTTGAAGAGCACAGATATAACTCTGACTGACATTGTTTTGCAAAATTAGGCTACATGTACAGTCTAGACAGATGCTCCCAAACTTAGCGGTATCATACGTGGCCAATTTTTTGTCTATGGACCACACAACAGAATTATTAATCAGAGTAATAATCTCTGAATTATTAGATTTTCAATTATCTGTTAACTCCTCATAATTGACAACCTTGTCATTTTTTGTTTTAACAAAGTGCCCGAAGCATAATCTCACATCTTTTTGCCTTTCAAAAAATTTCTCATTGCATAACTCCAATAAGATTAATTATTTCCATTTAATTGCACACTAATAGACTGATGAGAACTATCCCGACTTTCAACTATTAAGAAATAAACAAATAACTACCAATATGAAAAAAATACACAATATCGAGATGCAAAATCAAACCAGAATCAAACGGACATTAGCGGAAGCCAAAGTACCGATACTGACAGTTTAAGAAATACTAAGCAAACGAAATATAAGAGATGAATAAACCTGCTCCAAAAGTCTCCTTCGAGCAATGTATGTTATCTAGAAAATCCTAGTTCGTGATTTTAAACAATTTTTCCAATCCTATACAACCCCAAACTATAAATACCTAATACCTTCTTCATCTCAAACATTGATTGAACAAATTTTCACAAAGGAGAACATAGATTAAGATCAATCAAACAAATCAAATCTTTTCTTAATTCGACCATAGATTGAAAATATTAATGGTGTGTTTGATAGGTAGGAAATTCTATGGAAAATGGAATTGCAATTCCATCTTTTCATTTTTCTTTATTTTTTTTTTTTGGTGTTTGATTGCCAAAAATTTCCTTGGAATTCATTATCCACCTTTTGATGCCACATAGACATTTTCTTTCTTTTTTGAAGAAAATGATGAGAATTCATTTTCTCGGATTATTGTAGCAATTTTTGTTTTTCGTTTTTTACAATGGAAACAAATTCTAAGAATAATTGTAAAAAAATATTTTTCTTTTAATTGGCAATTTTCATGTAAAACAAAGCCAAACGAACACCAAAAGATAGATGCTTTTCTAGAATTTTTTTTTGAGTTGGCAATGGAAGCAAATTTCATCCTCAATACCAGTAAAATCTATCCCTTTAATTGATAATTTTCATATAAAACAAAGTCAAATGAACACCAAAAAACACTTTTATTTCAACATTTTCCACTTGAAAAATTATACCAATCAAACACAATAATTTACAATTTTTAGGAAAATAATTTCTAGACAATTCAATTCTCTGAAATTCGTTTTCAATTTAATTCAATTCCATCTTTGCAATCAAACGGACCATAAGATTCCAAATTTTCAAAGCACCAAATCAACCACTTCTGTTATATTCGTCAGAGTTTTGAAGATCCAAGAAGGTGATCAGAATTCCAGTTT